CAAGAGGAAGGCTGGGGATGAGATGACGTGTCGCTGGCTCATAGCACGAAAACCAGCAAAACCATCAGGGGAAGATAATGGCTCATATTGAGCACCATGCGAGGTTGCATGGTGCCCTTGGGGTGTTTGACACACTGTGTGCTTACAAAATGTTCTTTCTTTGCTGTCGTCCGTACTTCAAATTGAGCTAATTTAGAAACAAGGGCGATTTTGGTTGACGTGCCATCTCTCTCTCTCTCTCTCTCTCTCTCTCTCTCTCTCTCTCTCTCCACGTATGTGCATGGCTCCATACATATCCGTGTGTGTATGCGATAATACGACTATACATCTGTCTGTGTATGCAGCGGTGTGTCCATCTGTCCATCTAGGTATGCACCTGCTCATTTCAGTGACTGTGAATGCGGACACAGTTGCAAGATCGAAGTCCAACAGACGTGATCAATCGTTCGCTTTTACACACACACACACACACACACACACACACACACACACACACACACACACACACACACACACACACACACACACATGGACACACGAACAAACGTTTGCGTGTATGTGTTCTTTTGTCAACGTGTGTGTGTGTGTGTGTGTAAGTGTGTGTTTGTATGCGTGGGCGTGTGTCTCTCGCGATGAAGACCGGATTAGCAGAGAGAGTAGAATACCAAACCACATGCGCATATCAAAGAAAAGATCCTATGTAGTCGCGGAGAAGGATGGCACACAAGGAAAATAGATGTGGATGAAGAATGTCTCGATCGTCAAAGCAATAACGACAACAAACAATGAAGTGCAATGTGTGCGACAAACACGAAGATGCCCAGCGTGAGAAAGCAAGTTTTAACGCACACAGGAAGGCGCAAAAACATGTCCATCAAACCATCGCATTTAAGCATTGTAAAAGTTGACATGTGGGTACTCATTCGCCGTTGCGCAGCCAAACACCACGCCTCCTACGCTTCTCCACAAAACAACTGATCGGAAGCTACATACTACTTCCTTCCGCTTGCAAGCAATTATAGACTGGTGAGCAACACACCAAGGATGGGTATGGACATAAAACACAGCCCCTTCAAGGAAGACATCGTTCCTTCGTCCATTGGCCACAGTACACAGCACAGGTGATGGATATCAGTTAAGACTTCATCACCCAATTGCACAGATTGAAAACCACTGACACCTGCGACTGCTGGCCCCACTTTGTGACTTCCGCCATCGTGCACAAAAAATTAAAATAAAAAATTGATGTCATATTATCAGTGCACGTGGACATCATGAAGGTATACGACGCCGGAGCGGTAGATCTGCAGATTTTTTACCCCCTACGACGCTACCACGCACCCTCGAAACAACCCCGAATCTCAACACGCGGCTTCTTTCATTATCCAAGGTGAACAGTCATAAAGTCTCCGCGCAACCATCACCTCACAAAGGGAAAACTATGTCCACGACAGTGATCTTCCCCCCCCAGGTAATCTCACCCTTGGAGAGGCAGGTGAAGCACATCGCACCACGTGGCATTCCTCTGGGTTCATCCCTCGTGCTCGAAAGCCAGATTGGAGACAACGTGAAGCAGCATGTCTCTGATAATGTCGGGGTATGTGCGGTCCCACTCGTCCGGGATGATGTTCCCGATCTTCGATGCATGCACGATGATCTGTCGGAGCAGCCTCCGCTCGTATCCCACGCCGACCACCATGTACAACGCCTTCAAACCATTGGCATCAACTTCGTAGTGCCTGACGTGATGGCGGGTGACTTCACGATCGAACTCCATATCCCGATCTTGCGCATCTCGTCTATGGCGCATGTGCCAAAAGACGACGATCCTCCCAACTATCATCGCTCATCAACTGACCTTCACATCCATCGTTCTCTCTCTCTCTCTCTCTCTCTCTCTCTCTCTCTCTCTCTCTCTCTCTCTCTCTCTCTCTCCCTCYCCCACACACACACCCCCCCCCCCCCCCCCCCCCCCCCCCCCCCCCCCCCCCCCCCCCCCCCCCCCGTCTAACAGATTGCACGCCCCACTTACATTCAAGAAGCATACACCTCAACCCCGATGCATCACCGTTACATCCAATCGCCCAGTCTCCACACCAACTTCACGGGCAACACCACCGATCATCGAAGAAATTCCGCGGCAGGTGAACAACTCACTCAAGTGGTCGGCCTCGCCCTCTTAAATAGATGCACAACAGCAACGGAAGTATTCCGTATCCTTTGTGCAAACCACAAACCTGGGCATGACCTTTCTTTTTTTTTGTTCACAAAATGTTATTGTTTAACCTTTTTTTTTTGTTTTCCGTGTGTCCAACACGACCTTCCCCCACCCACTGCCCTCGCACACCGACGAGCATCCAATTTCAATCGCAGTTGATGCAGCACGATAAAGGCAGAACCAGTGGCATGAAGAAACCAAACCAAAAAAGAAACAAAAACAAACAAACAAACAAACAAAAAAAAAACCAAGTAAACAATTCAAAGGAGACGACAAATGCGAGGGCGGCAGGCATCGAACTGCCGAAACCCCAACCAGTTGAGAGAGCACGTCATTCGATCCCACCATTGCATCAGTGACAGCGCCTATCTTCCACGTCATACGTCCGCCGACTATCTCCGCACCCTTCGTGCTTGCCCTGGATAGAGTCGATGCCGCTTGCTCCAGGCCACAACATTACGCACGCGTGGAGTCCTCCATTGCCTTCGACACCGACCGCCCGGATTCATCATCCCCAATTCCCCTCACCTTGTCGGATCCAAACCTCCTTGTCCTCATGCCAGCATTAGAAACATCTGAAGGATCACGAACGTTCTCGCGTCGACAACTCTTCCCCTTCTCACCGCCCGCCCCCCAACTTCTGTCACCACCCCCACTCCTGCCTGGTCAGATCCCAATATGTGTGCTTGCCTGACTTATCGCACTCGTCCCCGATCTCCTTCACCTTCTACAACAAAAATGCCCATTTTTTTGACAGTATTCACCGCTTCGTCTGTACCCCTCCTCCCTCATGCATTTCGAGATCCATTCAAGACGTTCCTCCCTCTTCAAACACCTATGAGGACCAGGAGCACCAACGCAGAGTGCGTCATCTTCACCAAATAGCCATGCCAGAGATATCTGCTCATCCGGCAACCATGGTTGGGATACGTTCCTCAGCAGCTTTGCAGGAAGCGTCCCTCTACCGCTCTCCTTTGGCGGACTGTCCATTGTCAAAGCTGGGCCATTATTGGACGCTTGAGCATCCGCACACGAGGACCTTGTGCATGCGCCGGGGGGCCAAGAGCTTCTTCTATGTCCCCCGCTTCGTCTATGTCCTTGCCGGATCCAGTCCTCCTTGTCTTCGTGCCAGCATCAGAACCGTCTGAAGGATCTCGGACATTTTGCCTCGACGACTCTTCCCCTTCCCACAGCCCGCCCCCCCACTTCCGTCACCGCCCCCACTCCTGCCGGATTCCACGTGATCCGTGGAAGACTGCATGTTGTCCGAAGCCAGTGTATTGTCGCAGGTCATTGACGGTCTCTTCATGTGCCAAGCCATTGCATCCCAAAGAGCCTTATCGAAAGCAGGGTGGATACCCAATTCCCTTCGCTTGTACGTGGTCAGATCCCATTATGTCTACTTGCCCGATTTATCGCACTTGTGCCCGATCTCCTTCACCTCCTCCAACAAAGATGCCCATGTTTTCCGACAGTTTTCACCGCTCCGTCTGTACCCCTCCCTCATGCATTTCGAGATCCATTCAAGACATTCTTGCCTCTTCAAACACCTATGAGGACCATCAGCACCGGCGCAGAGTGCGTCATCTTCAAGCCATTGCATCCCAAAGAGCCTTCTCGAAAGCAGGGTGGATACCCAGTTCCCTTCGCTTGTACGTGGTCAGATCCCAATATGTCTACTTGCCCGATTTATCGCACTTGTGCCCGATCTCCTTCACCTCCTCCAACAAAGATGCCCATGTTTTCCGACAGTCTTCACCGATCTGTCTGTACCCCTCCCTCGTGCATTTCGAGATCCATTCAAGACATTCTTGCCTCTTCAAACACCTACGAGGACCATAAGCACCGGCGCAGAGCGCGTCATCTTCACCAAATAGTCGGGCCAGAGATATCTGCTCATCCGGAGACCATGGCTAGGATACTTTCCTCGGCGCCTTTGCAGGAGGCTTTTCTCCACCGCTCTCCTCTGGCGGACTGTCTGTTGTCAAAGTCGGGCCATCGTTGGACTCTTGAGCAGCCGACAGATCGATGACCGATGCTTGCACACGAGGACCTTGTGCAGGCGCCAAGGGGGCAGGCGCTTCGTCCATGTGCCCCGTCGTCATGGCAGGTGTGTTGCAGTCCATGCTGCGTGTTTGACGTGGCAGGCTGACAGGTGGTGCATCCTTGTGGATGTGGGAAGCCCCTGGCCCCACACTTGCAGATTGATGAGCCGGCGGCGAAGTGCAGAAATGTGCAGCTTGGGATGGCTGAAATTATGCCATCCCGCCATGGCTAACATTCCTCTCCACCCGGGGGACGCCATAGACACTGCTGGCCATCATTGGTGATGCCGGAATCGAAGAGGCAATGCTGGATTGCACGAATGCTTGCGCTGCACAATTGTTTTTCCAAGAGAGGGCAGGAGGGAGGGAGTTGGCAAACATGGACCCCGAAGGAAGCCTGCGCCCTCGACAGCGGCGTGCCGTGCGACTGGGAGAACCACCGCTGTTGACCCATTTGCTTGCAAGCTCACTTTTGCGCGCGTGTCAGGAGGACGACGACAGCCACGCAACACAAAAACAGGAACACAACGGCCAGCAAAAGATCTACGGCTGCTAAAACGGAATGCCACCACGTGGCAACAAAAACGTCTATCTTTGACGCTTTCTCACTCCCGACAACGACTGTTGTTAAAGGTCGTGGCAGAACTTCTGGTGCGGGTTGCGCACACCATACCATGCAATGACCCTGCCCCGACGTCCTCGGCCACACGCTGGGGATGAAGATGTCCCCACTGCAGGTGATGCGAACGCAATGTCTGACCGCTTACCCAACAAGCTCGGACGTCAGCCAATGGGTTCCAATGGGTTCCGAAAGATAAGGACGTGGGGGGTGAAAGGCGCAACAGCGGTGCAGATTGCAGAAGGAGAAGGGCAACGCCGTTTCCAGTACGAAGAAGATGGAGTTGCAGTGAGCGACAGTGCTTCGCAAATTGGGGAGATTATAGCATGGGAAGAAGACAGTGGAGAGTGAACACTTCGCATGAAAGGGCGGAACAAAAACGCCCGTCCCCAGAACTTGTAACCCCCATTCATAGCGCGGAAGCTCGACGACCAGATCATCACCACCGAACGAAGGAGATGATCCGTGGTCGGCCGAAGAGCAATCCACTGAACTTCGCATGCAGACGAAGAGCCCCGTTTCGGAAACCCATGCGATCCCCTTTGTCCATTTCAAAACGGACGCCTTTGGGCGACCATTGAACCTTCTGGCCAAAGGCGACGACGCCACACTTCCTCCACCGTCCCAAATTTCTGCACCGGTACTGTCCTGTCCCATCGACCACACCACCATCGACCTGTCCCACGGACCGCAGAGCTGTGTGACCGATTCGAAAACACGGAACGCAGGTAGGCCTGAGTATACACTCAGATAGATTAGGACTCTGGGTCGAGCAGTAACTTCGTGTGCAGACTATCTGGAGGAGAGACCTATATTCAGGCTGTATCTGGCTCCTCAGGGTTTGCTTCAGGGCACAACAGTTGCTCTGCAAGTCATCGAGCTAGCTTTCTTTTCAGTGGATAGCTCACCTTTTTCTGAGCGTAAAAGTTTACTTTTGGGACGCTGGACCCGGTTTCCAGCATGTATATGAGGAAAATGGAGCAGTTAGTTTTTTTCTTTTTTTTCGTTTTCTTTTTTTTTTTCCCCAAGCGCTTTCAATTTCATTCCAATATCTTGCCAAGAGGCCGGGGACCTCACAATTCAACCCGGAGTTATCCCGAGGCTAGGTTCCACTTGCACCAATTATGCGATATTCACCGTCGATAGCGAAGATCAATGGCAGAAATCTCCTAATCCGTGCAAGTGGGACCTTGCCCCCGGCAGCATCAGCCGGTTTCGCTTACAGCCATCAGGGCTGGGTTCTCCTTAAAACAGCTACCGAACCTCTCAGCTCATCAGAGCAGAACAGAACAGCACAACTACAGAACCTCACAGGTACCTATCTACTACAAACAAACACCTACTCATTCAAGATTCACAACTACAACCACTCCCCTCATTCCTAGCTAAAGTATCATCACACTGTCCACTACAATGCCTACCCCTACTGTCCAAACCAAAATTCTGGCTATCTATACTGGTCAAGTCTGAAAGGAGATTGCAGCACACCGTTGATAAGGAAAACAAAGGAGGGTTGGGCCTAAATTTTGGTCTTTGCCCCTAAACTGGGACACGACCATCAATTTAACAACCATTTGCAGATACTCATCCTGGCTTCCTGTGAGATTGACGCCATTCGGCCGTTCTTGGCCCAGGTTTGTCTGAACCAGGTCAGAGTCTTACCTGGGTGCGCTCTGCAGTCCAGCCAGTCAGCTCTGATGGCGCGGCGGATCAGACTTTTGATCAGCTCTACCTGAGCCGGGAAAGACATCTGTATCCGTTTGAAAACCGCGTGGTTTCTTGCCTTCCAGAGAGCCTCCATCACGCAACATAACCCCACCCTGATGTGGGTATAGTATCCTGCGATGTAGGCCAAATAAGGTCCATTCCTGTGACCACTGGAATTCTCCCCCCGTCAGGTTGGACCAATGCAGACGCCACCAGGTCCATATCTGATGGGAGAAGGGGCAGTACAGCCATATGTGACTAGCTGTTTCCCAGCCCCAACTGCAACGCGCACATTCTTCCGTGATGTTCATGCCTTCCCGGGGGCGAGGTCCCACTAGCAAAGAGGATTGGATAAACATCCTGAATCTGGACTTGTTTTAAGCAGAGATGCAGAAAAGCAGTTCAATAGCGGAATTCTGCACCTTTCCGCAAGCAAGTCCAGATTCGGGCATTCAATCCAATCCTCATTGCTAGTGGGACCTCGCCCCAGGCCAGCCACGTCGAAGAGGCTGTGACTCCAATCCTTATTCGTTTTGGTTGCTGAGCTTGACTCGTAAGCGAAACTGGCTGAGGCTGCCAGGATAACTCCGGGTCGAATTGTGAGGTCCCTGGCCCCGTCCCTGAGTGCTTCAAAAGGAAAAAAAAAAAAAAAAACAGGGAACGCAGAGCGGTCTACCAGTTTGCACTGACGGACGGAGTCGTTTGTCCGCCTGCCGTTACTTCAATTTTTTTTATGTTTGTTTTTTTTATTTGGACCATTTCTCTATTTATGCTAATCTTCCCTGTATCGTTCCAATTTTATCGGATGTCCCGAAGGACCCATTACTTCAATTGGCGACCGAGGCACTCGGTTATTTTCTCCGCAGTAGGAGGGCAGTAGTTGGCGGTATGAGGGGCTGGAGGGAGTGCTTTTGTTTCGGAGGAACAGGCGAAGGTTCCAATCTCCCGCTGTAGGGAGATACATATTTCAGGGCCCGCAGTGGCAATGGCGAGTACGTAGGGCCGAGCCATGTAAGTGGCACCTGGCGAGAGGTGTACAGTTGTGAGTTTTTGCATCGTCGGATTTTGCCTGGTGTCTGTATTGCTGTTTTGTCTCAAGGGGGTTGGTCCCCTGCAGGGCTCCTCCCTGTAAGCGAAACGGGGTAACGCTCCCAGAAGGTCACTATTTCCGGGTAGACTGTGAGGACCCCGGCTCGACAATTATTGGTAATGAAATTCCAGCTGTTTTCAGAAGAAAAGAAAAAAAAAAAAAAAAAATGGCGACCGAAGGGATGCCTCGACCACGGCCTTCCGTTTGGGAGACGCGAGCGGCCCTCAGGGAAGAAACTGACAGGACCCTGGGCCGCGATGTATGTAGAAACAGCCCGTCCACAGTTTCCAACCCTCCTCCACTGGACCTACTATGGGGTCTCACAAAACCTTTCTGAACCCTTTCCAGACCTTTGCCGCGGAAAGCTGGGGGGTCCACCTGTAATCCTCCTGCTCTACTCGACCCCACACACACATCCACCCACCCACCCTCCTGATGAACCGGTGAAAGTCCGACCAGACAGTCTGGCACAGTCAAGGCATACTCACACACCGGTAGCAATTTTGTTTTTTTCTTCTTTTTTCTTTTTTTCCCCTTCAATCATCGGGGACAGGCGACTACCGGGCAGGCTGTAGGAGAGCCTGTTCGGTTGGGGCCTGCACAGTTCGATGGCTCCAATCTATTGGTGGGGAGCGTCACCTGTTGGAAAACGGGTCCAACGTCCCCCCCTCTCAAATAACAATTCTCAATAAGGTTCCATGACCACAGAACAGACTCGATAGACCTCTTCACCATGTAGACGACAGAAATAACTTGATCTCCTGGTCTACCAGTTGTCCCCTCATCCCATAATCAGTGAGGTACACACAAGATGTGACATCCCACTAGAGACCAGGAAGGTTGTCACATGAGCAGGTACTACTATGAATAGACTAAATCTGAATTCTGCCAAGTTACAGGGGCCTGGGCCCAATCAGCCATGGTTCAGTGATGATGCCTGCATCCTTGGTCCTGATCATTCTGACGTTCTGTCCCCATGTCCTGAAGAAACGGTCTCTGGCTGCTCTTTTGTTCAAAGCGCATCTGGCTCTCCTCCAGTCTACCCAAATCAGGGATCGTATCCCATCCAGCACCATGTTCATGATACTGAGATCCGAATAGAACCTGGAGCGGAAGAATCTATCGTTTCGGATTTTCCATATAACCTGCATGATGGCCGCTCTGCAAGCCTGGGCCACGTACACCCAGCCCTACCGACTTCCTCCACATTCTGCAGAATACCTTCAACCACGAAAGCCTCCTCCCACTGCACCCGATGCTCCACGTACCTTTGCCATAGCTTAGCCCACCACACCCAGATCCTTTTGGACTCAATACATCCCCACCATAAGTGCGTGGCTGATTCTTCCAACTTCCGGCATCTCAGACAAGTACTATCCAACGGTAACCTATTCAAAGATAGCAACTTGGCTGTGGGCACAATCCTATGAGACTGAAGCCAAGCCAGAGTTCTCAGCTTGGTGGACGGGATCTGTTTCAGATTGTGCCACAATTTCCTAAGTTTAGCAGAGTTGATTCTCCCAATCGAGGTTGATCTCTCTGCGGTCTCCATCTGCCAGCGATTGCAGACCCCTAGTGGAAGAGACCATGACTTGGTCTGCATCCTATAACCCACTGCGGGCCGGTAGTCCAGGAGACCGACCTGTTTAACCCGTTCGAGCATAGACCATCCCCAGTGAAGCGGTAGAGCTTGTAGTGCGTCGACTGCCTGCGTATCCACAGGGCAGAAAAAAACTGTCTTGTCCTTGCTCACAGTCTTTGAACAGACTATTATGGATTTGACCTGTCTCAGCTCAAGAACTGTTTCCTCTGTTTCCAATAGGGCACAGGAGGATTCATTCTCATTTCCTTCTCTGATATAAGGTGTAGCGACCGCCTGGTTCCGGTCCTGGTCCAGGATCACGTTTGCTAGTGCTAGTTTGCCTTTGTTTTGTGTTGCGCAGTCACACAGGGGTAACAAATGGGTAAAAGACAATGCCACACACGCACCCACATCCTGGGCAGATTGCTGGGGTTCAACCTCCTGACGAGTTGGTGACAGTTCGACGAAACAGTCTGGGGCGCGCACGCACGCACACACACACACACACTCACGGCCTCGCCACACCACTGTCGAAACGGGAAAAGTACGGCTGAATGCTCCCGCAGGGAGTGGCCTGATGCATCCATCTCTATGAATAGTACGGATGCCTGTGTGACCACTCTCTGGGGAAGACGCACACACTTTTTTCCTATCACCACACACACACACACACACACACACACACACACACACACACACAGACGCAGACACACGCACACACACACAAACAAAAAAAAAGGCACGCACGCAATGTCCAAGCCATACGTCCAAGAGCAGAGCAGAACAGTCACGCGCTCCGCTGTTGACGCACTCTAATTGAGAACAACCCGCAGGGAATACCCGTGTTTCCCTCCGAGGAGAAGGGAAAGTGACCGTAATTCCTGAGCTTCGCTGGAGAACAATGCCCGCCATTAATTCTATCGCTATCTCCGACGGTGAAAGACATGCCCATTACCCTTATCGATCCACCCATCCATCCATCCATGCCAGAAAACTTATCGATCCATTTCGTT